TTTCCAGTCACAAAGGACGAATTCATCAGAGAATTCGAATATTTAACATATAGTGAGGGGGCATGTTTGAAAACTGGCTGTAAATCAAATTATCTAAAAAAAATTCGTTCAGGACAGTATCTATCACAAAACAACTACTCCCCTGGTTGATACCATGAAAGGCATTGGATTATATCCGACAGGTGTCGGTGCAGGATTCTTCACAGAAAAAATTCCTACATATTCTGTTGGCGATACAACTGCCGAAATCGATTAAAGCGAACGACAAAGAACATATTTGTCACCGTACCATTTGCCCCATATGCCCTCATGAAGATTTTTTCTTTCACGAGGAATTGGGTGATTTTGATATGCGGATGATTAATACCTCGTTTACGGACGGAAGGGACGATGACAAATATGTTGTTTATCTGTCGCCTCAGCCTAGTTCGAGGAATGATACTCTGAAAAGGAATCGATTTTCAATCATGAGAAATCATCGACTGCATGTTGATGATGGACACTACCGTGCACTGACGAGTGGCCAAATAGACCAACTGGTCTGCAATCCGTTCTAATAATTGAAAATCGATTTTGGCGGTTGTATCGTTAACAGCATATGTAAGAATTGCTTCTGTATAGAATCCTGCACTTACACCTGCCAAATATAACCCAACACCGTTCGTAGCATTAGCCAGGGGAGAAGTTGTTTTCTGATAAGTGTCAGTCCATCAACCTACAGTGTAGGTGAGTTGAGACTGGGCTAAACGAATTGTTCCTATAGATGATTAACTGATTTGATGATGAGAAGCAGCACATTTTTCAGAAACAACTGCGGAGTTTCATGAAAGACGGCAGAGTTTACTATTTAATAAGCTGAATAACTGGTCTATCCACGATAATTATCATATAATTTTCACAATATAAATTTTATGTTGGACGCATTTAGATTTACGTTAGATTCATCAGTTGTTGTGTTATCATTTCAACATATAAGCTGCCGTAGGTATACAGAAACGCGTCTTGAATGAAATCTTGAGGCAAAATGCACTTTCGAACCACCATCCAAGTCGAAAGCAGGGAATTATCAATACCCTGATCGAACGTGTCCGTAGAATATGTGAAACAGAAAACCTACAAGAAGAATTGGGGCATCTTCAAGTGGTTTTAAGATCGATTGGAGACAGTGCAACCGAGATTAACAAGGCCATGAAACCAAAGACTTCCACGATTCATAATAGGGATGAAACTCAAACAGTTGCACGTGAATTTCTATCGTACATTCTTAGGGTTGCAGATAGAATGAAAATAAAATAAGAAAGCATAAAATAAAAACAGTGTTTGAGCCCACCAGGAAAATACAACAGAGCCTTAGATCTGCGGAAGACAAAGGAGATCCACTGTCAGCTACGGGGGTATATCCGTATATCATGCACCTGTGGAAAAGTTTATATCAGTACCACCAAAAGATCCGTGGGTACGAGGCTGAATGAACATCGGAAAAACTAGAGTTTGGTCAAATAGACGAATCGGCAGTAGCGGAACACGCGCTTAGTGAAATTCACAGGATACTGTTTGAAGATATGAAAATACTTGCCCCCGATCATGGATACCACAGTCAGCTTGTACAGGGAGCCATTGAAATTCATTAACATACGGAGAAGTACAACAGAAAAGAGGAGACGATAACGGTTAACCGGATTTGGAATCCCATACCCAAAGATGCTAAAGTGGTAACAGCGTAATGCAATGTTACGGCTCTTAGAGATGATAGGTCAATCATCAATAAGTATTTATACCGTAACTCCTCCATGTCCCCTCCCGGGTTAAGTGCCCTGAGTTGAAATCTTCTCCACACGGTTAATGTGTGCAGAACATCCCATCTCGTCCATCCACCCCCGCTCCTCCGTAGCAGTCTTCAACTTACTGATGAGCACTTCACCAAGATTGACATCTGACCTTCTTTGGTCGAAAGTCAGTCTCTAGGCGCTTTTACTTTCTGATCTGCTGTATTGTTTCATCTTGACTTTCATAACTGAATTTTTGCATGGGGAACTGCTGTCCAAACAATTATTTATTATTTCATATAGGAACTACATTGAAAAATCGCAGTGAGAAAAACAACTAGATATATCGTTAATATAAATGTTGGAGAGAAGAGGTCCCAGATGGGAACCTTGAGAAACTACGGTAGTAATACTAATGAATCTAAAACTAGATTTTCCCAGAGTGACTACCTGAAACCTATTTGTAATATACGACTGAAACCATCTTAGCAGATCACCGTACATACCGATTCCCGCCAGCTTGTCGAGTGAAGTTGCATGCTCTATATCGTCGAATATCTTGCTGAAATCGGTATAGATGGCATCAACCTGGTAACCTTCATCCATGGTCTTCATAACTGAATTTTTGCTTGGGGTTCCCAAAAACTAACCGGAGACTATTGTTTGAAAAGAGATCGCGGTCGAGCCAATTCCCGTAACCATACCATAACCAATATCAACCCGCTAACAGGTACGGCGGGAGTAGATACGTCATTAATAGGTAATAATTCTTCGGCCAATACCCGAATGTAGATAGTAACACTGAAAAACGAAATCCTTAACCAATTTATAATGTTCAAAAGTTCTATAATCATAATTACGGATAGTGTTATCCATTTCCATCAAATAACAGGTTACCGTTTTCATAATTCAAATAATTGCTGCTCAGTACAAGGCATGAGAGAAAGATTTACAATAATGGTGCATGTGTAAGAGGTTAATAATATGTCTTTCCACCACTAACATTATTATTCATATTCTTTGAGATCATTTAAAAGAATCTTTGTTGAGTTTCGATGCGATGCAAATACATCATCTATCACGTTACCGTCAACCTCTATTTCGAATTCCCATACTTTGTTATGTAATGCTTCACTTAGTTCTGAAATGATTTTCCACAAGGCATAAGAGTCATTTCCAGTATTCCCAATCTCAAATCTTATTTTGATAGTAGATCTTCTTTGCTTTTGTAACAAGTACTATCAATATGAAAATAGTGTCTTACTTTTGTCGCTACAGTTAAAACAAATCAACTTGTTTTTATTAAAGTTATGTGATGTATTTTTGCAGGACGTTTTGGTCATTGGCAACCTCTACGGAGCAATGTTGGAAGAAGGAGGATCCTTCGAAGAACCGGCAATGTTCAAACCGGAACGGTTTCTCAAAAACGGCAAGATATCTCTCCCGGAAGATTTTTTGCCTTTTGGTATCGGAAAGCGCAGATGTCTGGGGGAATCCCTAGCAAGAGCCAACGTTTTTTTATTCATAGCTGCTCTTCTGCAGAAGTTCACGTTCAGTATTTCACCTGAGCATCCTCCGACTACCGAGTGGAAAGACGGAATCACACCAACTTCGAAAATATTGACGGTTTTCGAGATATCTAGTATGACAGGTTTTTTTTTCCAATATTCGTCACTCAGAATATTTGAAACTATAAAGTTGTGCCAAGTGAAATTGTATTTTATTTTTTTGTCGAATATTATACATTGGTAACTCTCTCAAACGATGTAACTGAAGTCGACCTGTGATATACAGGGTATGAAAAACCGCTTGCCGCATATTGTAAATAAAAATTTGCAGAATCTTCCTTATTTCAAATGAAACACCCTGTATATTATCGATACATAAAGAGCGCCAACGAAACATCTTCAAATTTCATTGAGTATTCCCTATGGCTAGGTTCAATGGTTTTTCTTAAAAAAGCATTTATTTCGAAAAATGGTCTTTCTTCCTATTTCTACGCCATAAACTCGATGAAAGACTTTTTTCAAAGAGAAATCCATTTGACGTCTAATAAGAATGTACAAAAGATATCTTGTTTCAATTTTGTACATTATAGCGTGTCCAATAGTTTTTCTTATTTTTTTTTCTTTTTTCTAAAAATGACAACTCTCTATTGTATCGCCATAATATCAATGATTTTTTTACTGTGAAATCCATATGTTACGGCGTGATCGAGATATATGTAATGTTTATAACACATTTATTCTTCAAATAGAACACCGTGCAATTTCTTCATTTGATGCATAGTTTTTGTCCAAGCCTTTCCTTAAAATATCGCCCCATGCCTAAAATTACCTGTTGCTAGATAAACAAGTTTTGAATGTACGAAAGATATTTTGTTTCAATTTTGTACATTATAGCGTGTCCAAACAAATATTTTTTAACGAAATAAATGTATGTACCTATCACATTTTTCTAAATGGAAAATTATTTTTTTCATTGGATGCAGAATTTTTCCCATAAATCGTGCAATATCAAACCAAACAGGATTAAATGAAAAAACATTGTGAATATTACTAATTTTTTTTATGTGATGGTGTATATTCATGAATTCATGGCTCAAGTTCTAGATATTTAAATTTGTCAACTGGCAAACTACAAAACTAAAAAAGGAAGAGTTTAATGAAGGTTGATAATGAAAGTTTCATAAAATATGTTCGACATGTTTATCATTTTCTTGAATGCAGAGCTGGAGTCTATGTTTGAAAGACTGTTCTATCCTGCGCAAGACAGCTGGTGTAATGCTACCAAAAGCATTCGTTATTCTAAGTCGCATATTTTCGGAAGAAGCTGGTGGCTTTCATGTATCCCCATAAGAAAAAATCCAGTTTTGTTAAATCTGGTGATCTAGCGGGCCACCGTACAGGCCCATTACGTCCTATGCATTCATTGGGAAATACTTCATTTAGATGATCTCTCACTTCTGCCGATCAGTGAGCAGGCGCACATACATTGTTCCATTCATATGTCCCTGAAAAAAGTATGGACCAATTGCATATTCTCCAATGAGACATTCTCCAGACATTTATCGACCACCTATATTGATAGTCCACCTGTCTCAATAAGTGGGGATTTTCTGTCGAATAATAATGGTAATTATGTCGATTCACAAATCCATTTTTATGGAATGTTGATTCATCCGACCATGAAATGTTATTGAAAATATATTCGTTTCGACGAATTTTTCCCAGCATGGCCCATCTCAAAATCGGCATACAGTAGTATGAGATGGATGAAAGCGACTCCTACTAGGATCTTCTTCAACAGCAAGAAGAACTTGCTATTCATTATCTTCATCAGTAGCTGGCTTGATGCGCACATGTTTAGAATAATTGATATATCCAGTTTCAACAAATCTTTTAATTTCATTTTATTCGCTGAAGGTTGTTTTAGACCGAAAAAATATGGCACAAATTTCGAGATTATTGAAATTATTGTAATTATTCAAGAACGTACATTTTGAGAAACCATAGTTGTAGTCCATGGGACTCGAGCTAACAAAGAATTCTTGTTTTCGGATGATATGGCTGGAAGACCGCTTGGCGATTTTTATGATTTAAGAACGTGGGGAAAACGAAAAGGTATTTTAATTTTTTGTTTGACTTTCTTCAACGGATATTTCAATGTTTGACATCGAAAGGAGATCGATAATAGATAAAATGAATATGGCATCTACAAAAACATTCAAGAGTGCCACCCTGTGTAGTATTGGAGTTTCGAAAAAGGGGCCCGATCTGGCCCAATCCGTCTGAGCATGAACATTTACTTTAATGATGATACAAGCCAACTTGGAGTTGGTTATAAATTCCGAATTATCACCCATAACCCATGTGGATTGTTGATCAACTAAGTACATCGTTTCTGTTTATAGGGATTCTTTTGGTGGACGGAAAATTCTGGCAAGATCAACGAAGATTTTTCGTGAAGCAATTGCGAGAATTCGGTTTCGGAACAAAAAACATGTCCACCTTGGTAGAAGAAGAGGCTCAGGAGTTGGTAGAATACATATTCAGGACAATACGTAACAACGATTCCACACTGTTCAACATTCAGTCACTGTTGACCGTGCACATTTTGAACAGTCTTTGGAAAATGCTAGCCGGGGTCAGATACAGCGCTGAGGATGAAAAAATGCGTGAACTGCAAGATATTCTTAGTGAGTTATTCCGCTCCCTCTCTATGGTGGGAACCACCTTTAGCCATTTCCCGATATTGAGGTACTTAGCACCGGAAAGGTCTGGATATAACCTTTATGTGAACTCCCACAATCGAATTTGGGAATTTCTCAGCAAAGAGATAGCTCATCACAAACAAACTCATAATACTCACGAACCGAGAGATGTTATTGATGTATACCTGAATGTTCTCGAATCACTAGATAATACAAATGATGAGTTCAGTGAGGAGCAGTTGCTCGCTACTTGCATGGACATGTTTATGGCTGGTTCAGAAACCACAAGTAATACGCTCAGTTTCTGCTTCCTTTACCTAATACTAAACCAAGATGTACAAAGAAAAGCACAAGAAGAGATCGACAGGGTTATTGGCAAATATAGAAATCCTCGTTTAGATGATAGACCCAAGTGAGTATAATTTATAACAAATAATAATAGTAAGTTGAAGAGATGGCATCTCCCATCCTTTTCATGAATGTCAGATATGAACGATGCTTCAATTGTAGTCCTAACCTCTGACATCAACTGCTCAACTTTTACTGCAGCTTTCGCTATAAGGCAACTAGAGCTTGGCACCCGAATAGGTGAAGGCAATGACATCTATTCTCATAAAGACTAATTATACTTACTCAGGTTTGTCCTTCAAGGATACTTGAGTTCAGGAAAGCATTCGCCGGATGAAATGGCGCTGTCTGTTTGGGAACACAATTTTTTTCTCAGAAGGTTAAAGTGAGATCCCAATACGATAGCGAATAGTGTTTCACGCAAAATATTCTGTTGAGGCAAAATTTTCTCCTATTTTCTCAGAAGTAATCATTAACTCGACCAAAATAATATTTCGTTATATCCGATAATGATCTATTCCTTATTCCACAGTACTGCTACTATGATTCGAAAGCGACCTGGCAGGCTTCGCAAGGGTAGCAAAAACTTACTCGTATATGCCTACATTTTTTCTGTGTGTCACATGAGTTCATCCATGGCGAAGATGCCCATTTCAACCTGAAGAGCGTCTTTTTGAAGATGTAAATGCTGGATGTTTTATTCTCTAGGAAGTTTAGAACAAACCAGAACTTTCCTAAGTCCTTGACTTCAGATGTTTTTTTTTAGTTGCTGTCTGTTTATGTGATATTGGTGGTGGTAAATATTCGTGTTTTTTGTAAATGTAATAGAGTGGCATTTTCTAAGATTAAGTGATGAAGAGTTTTTCTCGCAGAATTTCACAAGATTATTGATGGCGTTCTGAATGAGGAGTGAATCGTGAATGAATGTTGAAAAGGTGAGGCCCCAGATGGGAGCCTTGAGGAACTCCGGAAGTAATATTGATGAATCTAGAACTGAATTTTCCCAGAGTGACTGCCTGGGACCTATTTGTAATATACGACTGAAACCATCTTAGCCGTGTATACCTATTTCCGCCAGCTTGTCGAGTAAAGTTGCATGATCTATATTGTCGAATGCCTTGCTGAAATCGGTATAGATGGCATCAACCTGGTAGCCTTTAACCATGGTCTTCAAGAGATATTCAGTATAAATAAATAAATTGGTTTCAATTAGGCGATGTTTTACAAATCCATGCTGTTCATTATTGATTGAGGATCCAACATCAAAGTATATATAGTCACAAATGATTGATTCGAAAAGTTTGGAAATCAAGCAGAGTTTCGATATAGGGCGATAGTTTTCAAACTGATTACCACTTTTGAAGATGGGAACTACAAGTGCAGTTTTCAATATTTTTGGGAAGCCTTCTTCGATAGACTTATTGAATAAAATAAATAGGATATGAGACATTTCTTGAGGGCATTATTTTAAAAAGCAAGTGGGTATACGGTCCACGCCAGGTGATTTCTGAGGAAGATTCAGCATCTTTCTCAAAATGGAATTTTGAGGGATGTGATAAGGACTAAATGTAATGCTATCGGTTAATCTATCTGGTTGATTCATACCTATTGCCGGGTTCAATGAAGAAGCGAAAAACTTTGAAAAAACGTTACATATCTTCTGTCTGTCTGTTAAAAGTATTTTGTCTGCATTCTTTATAGCATTTATCGTGGTGTGATCGCCGTTTTTCGACTACAAACTGCCAGATTTCTTTGGGATCGAAACTTATTCTGATTTCTATTTGGTTTATATAGGTGTTGTAGCCGGAGTCAATCAGAAATGTTGACCTGCCTCTCTAAAGTTTGAATGTTAAGTAGTCTGTCATCTATCGGAAATGTAGACGAAAGATGGACAAAAAACTAGCAGAATTCGTCCAACAAAACCGGAAACCAGTTTTTGTATTGTACGTTTGTTGGGTGTCAAAATTTCCATATCATTCATATCATTCGAATGGGAAGTCATTTAACAAAAAATACATCTGAGCAATTGATATTGTGGAGAATAAAATTTGTGCTGGTAGGCCGTGCCAAATGGAACTTGAATTTTCAACCGTTTCATCTTTTCATCTGCTTCTGCGGCAGGCTAAATCAACTTCCATCATTAATAAAAATATTACCTCTAACGATTTTGATGATCATTTTGCCCAAGTAGCCGAATCTATTATAAAATCTCTACCTGGTATTCCTGAAAAGGAATTACTACATTTCTCAAATATTCTTCCAGCACCTTCATCTTCTTTCTTTCCGCTTCCTGTTACCGACTCTGAAGTGGATACCATAAAATCGTTGAAAAATTCTTCATGTGTTGACGTTCACGACTTAAATAGTAGAATTATTAAAGAAACATCAGATATAATTCTGATACTGTTTACCGAGCATATTAATCTTATATTTATCACAGGAATTTTTCCAGATATTATCAAAGTTTCGAAGGTTATTCCCTTATACAAAAAAGGAGATGCTTCACTGATTGAAAACTATCGTCCGATATCCATCATTTGCATTTTTTCCAAGATCATTGGAAAAATTCTGAAACAAAGATTAGCAAATTATTTCGAAACTAACAGATATTTTAGTGATTCGCATTTTGGTTTTAGAGCTGGTAGGTCAACCACAGCAGCGGTAATGGATATAATCAGTGGCATAGTCGAAAGCCTTGAACATCGGAAGTATACAGCTATCACGTTGTGTGACCTCTCAAAAGCCTTCGACTGTGTCGATCATAACATCCAACCAAAAAAAATTAGATTTTTATGGAATGAGAGAAGTTGCATTTTCACTTTCTGAAAATGCAACTCCTCTCATGCAGACGAAACGTTTGATACTTCAGGTTCAATTCAACCATGGCGTCCGGCCCAAATTTTGTTCTCTTTCATCATGACTCCGAAATCGTGCAATTATTTTTTGTTACTTTTCAGTATGCCTTATGTGGAGTGTGTTGTAATGGAATCTTTGCGGATGTTCGGTGGCCGCTGTTTCACTGTTCCGCACAGGGCCCTCAAAGACACTGAATTGTTCGGATACTCAATACCAAAGGTAAATATTTTAGAAACTTAATTAGTGGAGGGTACTTTATCCTGGAAAAGTTTATGGGAAACGGTTTCAATTGATATATTATCTGACTCCTATAAGGGTATTGTCAATCGTTCATTTTCCTAGTCTAACAATGTTTTCTTCTCAAACTGTATTGATTTCATGTACCTATCTGGTACATAAGGAAGAGTTTCTTTCTCATTCATGAAATTGTATAGACTGTATCTAGGAGGGATAAATACGTGTGACCTTCCTACGTGGTGGCCTACCGGAAAACAACGATTCACCCGGCTAATACCACGATGGACATTGAATTGAATCCAACAGATATTTATGAAAGGCATTCATGCAGAGCAGTGTAAAAATGATTCGAAATGTTTTCCTACAAGTCAGATTGGCCATAATCTGAATGGAATGTTGTTGTGCAATGATCACGGAATAATCTGCTGCAGAAAATGTAAGCGTTTCAAAAATGCGCATAAAAAATTCTTGGTTAAATTAACAGCTGCGATGACCTGTCTGTAATTTTCTACTTTTATAATCATCAGATCTTCCGGAAAGTTTCCAGTCAGAAAGGACGAATTCATCAGAGAATTCAATGATCTGACATATAGTGAGGGGCATGTTTGAAAACTGGATGTAAATCAAATTATCTAAAAAAAATCGTTCAGGCCAGTATCTATCAGAAAACAACTACTCCTCTGGTTGAAACCATGAAAGGCATTGGATTAAATCCGACAGGTGTCAGTTCCTTCTTGGAAAAAATTACTGCATATTCTGTTGGCGATACAACTGCCGAAATCGATTAAAGCGAACGACAAAGAACATATTTGTCATCGTACCATATGCCCCATATGCCCTCGTGAAGATTTTTTCCTTTCAAGAAGAATTGGGTGATTTTGATATGCGGTTGAATAATGCCTCGTTTACGGGCAGAAGGGACGATGACAAATATGTTTGTCGATCGCCTCAGTCTAGTTCGAGGAATGATGTTGATGATGGACATCACCGTGCACTGACGAGAGGCCAAATAGCTCGAAACTGGTCTGCAACCCGTTCCAATAATTGAAAATCGATTTTGGCAGTTGTATCGCTAACAGCATATGTAAGTATTGCTTCTGTATAGAATCCTGCCCTAACACCTGCCAAATATAACCCAACACCCTTCGGAGTATTAGCTAGAGGAGAAGTTGTTTTCTGATAGGTGTCAGTCCATCAACCTACAGTGTAGGTGAAACTGAGATTAACGAATTGTTCTTTTAGATGATTAACTGTTTGACCGTTTGATGATGAATAGCAGCACATTTTTCAGAAATAACTGTTTCATGAAAGACGGCAGAGTTTTCTATTTAACAAGCTGAATAACTGGTCTATCCACGATAATAATCATATAATTTTCACAATATAAATTTTATGTTGGACGCATTTGGATTTACGTTAGATTCATCAGTTGTTGTGTTATCATTTCAACATATAAGGTGCCGTATACAGAAACGCGTCTTGAATGAAATCTTGAGGCAAAATGCACTTTCGAACCACCATCCAAGTCAAAAGCAGAGAATTATAAATACCCTGATCGAACGTGTCCGTAGAATATGTGAAACAGAACACCTACAAGAAGAATTGGAGCATCTTCAAGTGGTTTTAAGATCGATTGGAGACAGTGTAACCGAGATTGACAAGGCCATAAAACCAGAGACTTCCATAATTCATAATAGGGATGAAACTCGAACAGTTGCGCGTGCATTTCTATCGTACATTCTTAGGGTTACAGATAGAATAAAAAAAAATTGGAAGCATAAAATAAAAACAGTGTTTGAGCCCACTAGAAAAATACAACAGAGCCTTAGATCTGCGAAAGACAAAGGAGATCCACTGTCAGCTACGGGGGTATATCGTATTTCATGCACCTGTGGAGAAGTTTATATCAGTACCACCAAAAGATCCGTGGGTACGAGGCTAAATGAACATCGGAAAAACTAGAGTTTGGTCAAATAGACGAATCGACAGTAGCGGAACACGCGCTTAGTAAAATTCACACGATACTGTTTGAAGATGAGAAACTACTTGCCCCCGATCATGGATACCACAGTCAGCTTGTACAGGAAGCCATAAAAATTCATTAACATACGGAGAACTACAACAGAAAAGAGGAGACGATAACGGGTAATCGGATTTGGAATCCCATACCCAAAAATGCTAAAGTGGTAACAACGTAATGCAATGTTACGGCTCTTAGAGATGATAGGTCAATCATCAATAAGTATTAATACCGTAACCCCACCATGTTCCCTCCCGGGTTGAGTGCCCTGAGTTGAAATCTTCTCCACACGTTTAATGTGTGCAGAACATCCCATCTCGTCCATCCACCCTTGCTCCTCCGGAGCAGTCTTCAACTTACTGATGAGCACTTCAGCAAGATTGACATCTGACCTTCTTTGGTCAGAAGTCAGCCTCTAGGTACTCTTACTTTCTGATCTGTTTTATTGTTTTATATTGACTTTCCTAACTGAATTTTTGATGGGGTTCCCAAAAACTAACCGGAGACTATTGTTCTGATAGAGATCCAATTCCCGTAACCATACCATAAACAATAACAACCCGCTAACAGGTACGACGGGAATAGATACCTACGTCATTAATAGGTAATAACACTTCGGCCAATACAGACGCATCAACAAGAAAGACGTACTACCTGTGTCTACATAAATACAACCTACGGACTAGAAATCACTAGTCATCAGTAAATCATGAAGATGAATAAACCTACGAAGCAGTTCCAAACTACGACGGTCTTCAAACTCGAATGAAGATATCAACACTGAAAAACGAAAGCCTTAACCAATTTATAGTGTGCAAAAGTTCTATAATTATCATTAAGGATAGTGTTATCAATTTTCATCAAGTAACGGGTCACCGTTTTCATAATTTGAATAATTGCTGCTCAGTATAAGGCATTAGAGAAAGACTTACAATAATGATGCATCTATAAGAGGTTAATAATATGTCTTCCCACCACTAACATTATTATTCTTATTCTTTGAGAGCATTTAAAAGAATCTTTGTTGAGTTTCGATGCGATGCAAATACATCATCTATCACGTTACCGTCAACCTCTATTTCGAATTCCCATACTTTGTTATGTAATGCTTCACTCAGTTCTGAAATGATTTTCCACAGGGCATTAAGATTCATTTCCAGTATGTGATGTGTTTTTGCAGGACGTTTTGGTCATTGGCAACCTCTACGGAGCAATGTTAGAAGAAGGAGGATCTTTCGAAGAACCGGCAATGTTCAAACCGGAACGGTTTCTCAAAAACGGCAAGATATCTCTCCCGGAAGATTTTTTGCCTTTTGGTATCGGAAAGCGCAGATGTCTGGGGGAATCCCTAGCAAGAGCCAACGTTTTTTTATTCATAGCTGCTCTTCTGCAGAAGTTCACGTTCAGTATTTCACCTGAGCATCCTCCGACTACCGAGTGGAAAGACGGAATCACACCCAGTCCAAATTCGTTCAAGGCCCTTGTGAAGCCTAGAATATAAGTAGAACATTAGCAATGATAATGATGATTATAATTATTCATAGGTGGTTCTCTCACGAGCAAACATACACTATTCTGTATCCACAATTTTCAATGCCAACGTTTTGGTTATTCTCGCTTTCGTCAGGGCTCCAACAAATATGATCTTTCGAATATAAAAACATCACTGAAGTAAAAATGACCAGATTTTGAAACCTACAGTATGATATAGTTTTGATCAGCAAACTCACCACAACTGCAACGGAGGGTAATGATGTCAGCTAAATGACTTTCAGATGATTTGTTCATGAAAATCTTGAAAAAATCTTGGAGAATATATAGGATATAACACTGAACGATTTTCATTCACATATTCAGATAACAATTACAATTACAAATTATCCCCAATGAAGTTTATGTTAACGAGGGATCAGCTTGATAAGTTATCTAATACTTTCATTCCAACAAATAGATACCAAAAGAGATATAAGAAATCAATGTAAGAGTCCATGTATGAAAAATGTATTGATAAAAAAATTTCAAAATAGAGATATTAACGTAGCGCCAAATCATTCATGGGGTTGAAATTGTAATGTAAAATGATATAATTTGCTCATACACGAACAGCTATACATGTCTCCACAATGTCAGTTACAAAAACAAGTGCTAAGGTTCCGCAGTTCATTAAGCTCAGGCTGTCAAAATTATCTGTTGAAAGCTTCGAACTGCGCTGGGAGTAGAGTGTTTAAGTTGAGTGGCTGCGGGTGTTCATAGATATCCTTCCAGAAGGATTCCACCTGATCAGCGGTCGGCGGATTACCCACAACACGTGGAGGTTTTTGGAATAAGCGAGAAGGTTTCTCGCGGAACCTAAGCTTTTTCGCGACACTTCTCGCTTGCCTCACTAATGACTTCCTAGCAACCACTAGCATTCGTATCCTATCAAGGCGGTGCTGTTTGGTGGTCAGCAGCACGCCTGGACTCAAAGTGTGTTGGATACATCGTAGTTTGGCGGATATTCGCCGCACTGCGTACGTGGAAAGCCTGTGGGCCGCCCTGTAATCAATCACACACTGGATACAAGACGCATGTTGTCTCGCCGACGTGATATCAACCTTCATCTTGTGTACACGTCGTTCAATTCTCCGAACCGCAAGGCCGGTGTCCTTCCGATTCGGAAAGCGACTGGACTACGCTATACAAGGCGGTGTTGATTTGCCAGATATCAACCTCTTCAGTTAGAACACTATGAACCTCCGCATCCAAACAAGCTAATTCTTGTGGTTTCAGGGGCTTAATTCTGTGGAGCACCCTGCATGTTCTGATTGACTCCATCGGTGGCATGATGCGAGTCTCCTCTCCAGCCGTGCCAATGGGTGATAGAACTGTCACTCCTTCCACTTCGTTAGCAGGCTGGGAAGGAGCTGTAAAGCTTGCCGTCGAAGATAAGATACTTATTTCCTAAGATCGTGGTCGGAAAAGGCGGCATGCTCAGGATGTGTTTGACACCACAGAGCATGCTTCTTGCCATGTAACCTCTTCGCGCGGGCTGACTACTCTCGTAGCAATGCATAAGGTTATCAATTAGCTCATGCGTCCACTCAAAGCGTCCATTGTCGTTGCCAGGGTTGTCGTCGGTAGGCAAATCATCGTTATGGGCCTTACCACCTTGCCTCTGACCCCTCCGAACGGGTCGATTGTAGGGGCCTCTTTCTCGATTACTAGAAACCAAGTTTTGGGTCTACCCGGTGGTTAGCCCTGTGGACCCACTGCCGGAGGGAAAATATTGTTCTGAAAAGAGAAATGAAAATTTCTATATTTTTTATCACTTTTATTTGTAACTAACGTTACTGCAGTTTCGTTCTATATGGACATTCTCAAACTTATCAATAAACGTATTGATAAGTTATAATACAAACTTATACAATAAACTTAGTGTATAAGTTTGAGAATGTCCATAAAGGACGAAAATGCAGTACCTAACGTTAGTTACAAATAAAAGTGGGAAAAACATAGAAATTTTCATTTCTCTTTTCATTATCATCTCCTACCACGTAGTAACGACTACATCCATCAATTTATTAAAATATTGGGTGCGCCTGGGCTGCCGGTCCGCTTTTGTACCAGTTGCTCGGGTAAATGGTGGCACAAATCACCAAAGGCCAAGGGTGTTAGTGACCATCCCTTCTCATCATTATAATGATAATAATTATTATTATTATTTATAAAACCTTTTCTGTTGTAGTTAAACTTGTCTATCAGGCAATGGTTGCACTCGAACGCGATTATATTGTGACATTTGCATTGGTCATAAAAATAACAAAGTCGTTATTGTTGAAATGTTTGTTCAAGTAACGTAGGACATCCATTAGATGTGCATTATTATTTTTCAAAATAATATCCAGTGGACATTCATGGCATACAATACATATATCTATTGAAGATACTTCTGCACATTTATATCTAGCAGACAATCCATGGATGTCCATTAATTGAAATATGGGCATCCATACTGACATTTCACATTCTACAGGAGACGAATTACCACATCATTTGTGATGATTAGAGTGATCAGTCTGTTTCATCAGCAAAATGAAAATCAAGTATATATGACATGAAAAGAATTCATTTGAATTTCATTCATGATTATTTCTTTTTACATCAAATTAAGTCATTCTTTTGGCCAGTAGCAAAATAGCTCATAAGAATTGTGAAAAACGGTGTAGGTAAGGGAACTATAAGAAATAAAAACAACTCTGTCAGGAGTATTTCTTTCACATGATCTTTCCATTTTATTATCATTTTCATATCAGCTCCCAATTTAACTTTGCTCAACTAAATCAGTATAACCTAATTGTTTTCTTGAATTCAGGACTTAATTTCTTACTTGAGGATGTCACTTATTGACCGAATAATTGATCCTCAAGATCCACAGGATCGTTGCGGTTGTGCTTTTTGACCTTTTCAATACGTTTTAGACCACCAAATTCTGCATGGAAGCTGACGCCGATTTCTTCCGCAATCACACGCACCGTTAATGATGGGTCAGTTCCCACCAGAGTCCTCAAATCCTCGTCCTGGGTTACTATAGTTCAACCACTTCGGGACTCATCATCAAGGCTAAATTTTCCGGAATAAAATTTCGCAAACCATCGTTGAACACAACACAGCACAATGCATATTTATTGAGATGCAGGGCTTCAGAAACATAAGACATAGAAACGGACAAATTTTTTGAAACAACCTTGTACAGGGTGTTTCAAATTCGATTCTCACCATTGGGATCTTGGGAACTATGGGATATACAAAGATGGTTGAATTGGGGCAAAGTTGCGCATTTACATGACTAACAATATGCCGTTGAGAAAGTTCTGAAATTCCGAGTATATCCAGAGATATCCGGAAAAACAGAAATTTCAGAAAATGGTTTTTATTTTTTTCTGGATTAATTTTTCGAAGAATTCCAAAATGAATTGCAGTTTCATATTGCCACTCTTTCCCTGCTACATAATGGTGTTTTCAGATTTGCTATCCGACGTTTCTTCTTCCGGCCACCATAGAGTTTATGGTCAGAGGGAATATTAAAATATTGAGGACCTTCAACACAGCATTATTAGAGAGTTCGGAAAAATGAGGAGGAGGAAAATTATTCGTGTAGTGAATAATATTCGAAGAATGGTACCGTTTTGTTATCATGAACAAGGCTTCAGCATAAAGGTGAAATTTACAGTGTTCTAGACTACGCAACATGTTTGATGAATGAATTGTAAACAATAGTGGACCCAATATTGAACCCTGTGGTACACCTGACTTGAGTTTTAGATAGTATGTATAGATTCCACCCTAGCACACTTTTTGTTCCCTGTTTTTGATGTAACATTCAAGAAGTCTGATAGCACTACCCGATAATCCCATATAGTTTAAAATGGCGAGAAGTAGATTATAGTTTAGAGTGTCAAAAGCTCGACTAAAATCAAGAAGCACAAGTACAGAACAAAGACCCTCATCTGTAGCCCTAATAATGTCGTCTACGATGTGCAGCAGAGCAGTGGCGCAGCTATGCCCTTTGCGAAACCCAGATTGTACTTCCGGAAGTAGAGAAAACCGAGAGAGATGATTTCTCAGCTGTTCTTCAACTGCTCGTTCAAAAATTTTTGATAAAGTGGGTAAGACACTAATTGCACGCAGATTCTTATATTCAGTTGGATTTGTTAGATCCTCCTTGATGATAAGCCCAGTGTTTTTCAGAGATTTCTTCTTATGGTAAACATCATTTTCAAGATTGTCTATTGAAAATACTTCTGCACCTTTATATCTAGCAGACAATCCATGGATATCCGTCAATTGAAATATGGACATCCAAACTGACATTTCACATTTCACAGTAGACGAATAACCACATCATTTGTGATGATCAGAGTTATCAGTCTGTTTTATCAGCAAAATGAAAATCAAGCAAATATGACATGAATAGAATTAATTTAAATTTCATTCATGATTATTTCTTTTTACATCAAAGTGAGTCATTCTTTTGGCCAGTAGCAAAATAGCTCATAAGAATTGTGAAAAACGGTGTAGGTAAGGGAACTATAAGAAATAAAAACAGCTCTGTCAGGAGTATTTCTTTCACATGATTTTTACATTTTATTATCATTTTCATATCAGCTCGCAATTTAACTTTGCTCAACTAAATCAGTATAACCTAATTGTTTTCTTAAATTCAGGACTTAATTTCTTACTTGAGGATGTTACTTATTGACCGAATAATTGATCCTCAAGATCCACAGGATCGTTGCGGTTGTGCTTTTTGACCTTTTTAATACGTTTTAGACCACCAAATTCTGCATGGAAGCTGACGCCGATTTCTTCCGCAATCACACGCACCGTTAATGATGGGTCAGTTCCCACCAGAGTCCTCAAATCCTCGTCCTGTACTACTGTAGGNTTACACCCAATGCAAAAGATTTCCTTTGAAGAGAAATTTTAACCCACAATTGTTCACAAAAACGGTTCAGTCGACTGATGACTTCACATTTCAATTTATTCGAAACATATATACAAACACCACCTCCTCGGCTCTGCCTGTCTTTTCTAAATAACTTAAAACCATTAATTTTGATCAGATGATCCTGTATGTCCGCTTTCAGCCAAGACTCGCAAACTGTAAAAATATCAAAATTTTCCTGTATTATAATATTTTTAACCTCTGAAAATGACGGTATCAGAGATCTAACATTCAATCCGCCTATTTTCAAATAGTTCATATCAAATATTTTAAATCACCTATATTAAGACCCAAACAATTTTATCTCAGCAATGTACGTCCTTCAGAGCAAAAAAAAATAAATATTTTAACAAAAGGAAAACAAAAACTGAGGAACGAAAAACGATCCTACTCTCACTCCAATCAAGCTGACGAGTCATCCTGATTTTATCCAGGTTTGGAGACCAGCTCCCCTACCCTTTTGGCTGATTATTGGCCTTGAGAGGGACCAATGGGTACACAACTGATAGATGACGGCATGAAGTCCTAAGACATCAGTGCCGCCCTTCACGGGATACCCCTACCTGGCTGGGGTGGGGTGGATGAAAAAGTTATTCATCCTTTAACGGGGGACATGAGGGCCTCATTCGACAGAGTGTCGGGGCCTTCTATATCGGGAGGGGTCGTCTACAGCATAATCTGTGGCTTCCCTAACTAACGGGTTT